GGAGAGAGAGAGAGAGAAGTAAAAAGTTAAAAAAAAGTACAAAAAAGCAGCATTAGCGACGGGGGAGGGGCGGCGAGTCGCTGCGAAATTTCGTCCGTTCCGAAAATCGATCGGAAAAACTCGACGCGTGTGTCGGCGGTGTTTCCAGTCATGTCGGTATCCAGCGGCTAGCGCCGGCCTCAGGATTCCGCGAAGCGCGAGCTTCAAGTACCTCGAGGGCGCGGGCCTCGTCGAGATGAGCGGTGGCAGCGGCGGGAACAGCGCCGGCAACCAGGGGAACGGCAATGCCACCAGCTATCACCAGCATCAGCAGCAGCAACAGCAACAGCAACAACAGCAGCAGCAGCAACAGACACAGCTGGAGCAAGCTAGCTTGCTGACAGATCTGAACGGTATAGACCTGGCGATGAGCCTATCGCCTAAACAGCACTCGTCCCACGTACAAGCCGCTGGTGGCGCTCATACCACACCGTTTAGCGTCACTGACATTCTCTCACCCATCGATAACGAATCGTTCAGGAAGCTGGAGCAGGTGATCGGCGTCGGCGTGGTCACGCATTCTCAGGTCTCGCCTTACGGAAACGCGTGCGGCGCCCGTGTCGGCGGCAATACCGGTAGCTCGAGCGCGAGCAGCGGCAGTCCACCGCTTCACGGAGGCTCGACGCCCGGTGGCGGTACACCCGGGCCGGTTTCCGGTCCGAACGACGCCGCCGGAGGAGGCAGCGCCGCTGCCGGTACCGGGTCAGGCATGACCGCCATGGGCAATCCTTACGCGACCATGCAGCTCACCTCGCAGTATCAGTACTGCGCCGCGGAATTGTCGTATCACCACGCGGGGCCAGCGGTCGCCGGGGGCGCGACCGCCACCGATCCCATGAGGTCCCATCATCCGTGGTACGCGCCCGCTCCGCCGGCCACTAACGATCCCCGCTTTGCCAGTGAGTATTTCTCGTTCTCCTTATTTTTATTCTTCCCTCTTCGCGGAGATCGATCGCCGTTTTAACAATCTCCTCTCATCGAGCGTGTGTATACGTATTACGATATTCCGAATAGAATGTTGTATTTACTGTTTGGCCGGGATTCACAATTCATTGGTGTTGCGTATTTTTCTCTTTTCTTCTGGAATCTAGTTTTCGATCAATCTGACAATCACGTATAATCTTCTTCAAAGCCTTTCTTTTTGCAATCAATTAGTTTTGGCGTTTTTCTATGGAGAAATTTTAAGTTTTCTTCTTTAAAAAGCAGAGAGGATCGTAGATTAAAATGTAATAATAAGCGTAAAAAGAGACTGTGAACGTATCTCGTTTTTCAAGAAAAGTAAGGGCGGCATATGGGTTGCACGCGATCATCCTTTTCGCCATCGACGAGGCACGTCTGTCCCTGCTTTTATTAGCCTCGTGTCTACTTTTGTTATTACTAGCTCGCACTTACGTCCATTTAGCCATCGATGAGGTATCGGATTCGTATTTCAATGTACACAACAGCCTGTTCCTCCATCGCATCGCTTCGCAACACACGGACTCGTGAATTCTTCCGTCGCGTATTCTTCAATCGTTGTATTCTTCCATCATGTATCTACGCGATTTGTAAATTTGATTGAATACCGAATTAACAATTGTTACACGGATAATAATATGTAACAATTATCAAACGACTTTACAAATAAACTTCTTGTCTTTAAATTTTTCAGTTGGATTTGAAGTTGAGAAGAATTTTTATAATAATAAAGTAAAATTGATATTTAACATTTTTATTGGAAAGATTATATACATATTTGATGAAAAGAGCGTTTCTTGTTGCAAATTTATTTCTTTCGTTACTTTCAATACTGGAAAAAAAGTTACACTTACGCTTATCACTTGCACGCAATTTGCCTAGATCATGTTTTAACTTTCCACCGTTCTAAACATTCATTTACTGGATAAATCGAATCTGCATAGAACGACACGAGGCGCACTCGTAGATACCGTAGTCCTCGAGGCTTCTCGCGTTTCAGAGGCCGCTGAAGAAGATTGTCGGCTAACAAAGCTCGTGTCCTTCGGACTTGTGTCAACATATGCTCGTCTCCTTGGATTTCTGTCGGCCGCACGCGCCACTCTGCTAGCCGCTAGAGAACGTATATCGATCCTTGGCCCCCGAAACGCGTGGCTACCGGACACTACCGGAGATTTTAGTTAAACAAATAAGCTTGAACGACCCTCGTCGCGCGAGGCTATCTTAACGGAACGTTTTCAAATTCAATTCTTCCCAATTTTTATCCAGAGAAACTGTAAAGAAGAAGATTTAGAATGGATCTTTGATTCGAAAAAATAATATGGAATAGGGTTTCATCAATGAATTATTTTTCAAATTTAATTCCTTGATATCGACATCTTTGGTGACACTCGAATGGAATAAGAGGAGTCTGCCACGACTTTTCTGACAATCATCAAGAACAAAACAGGGGAGAAAGTTTATTGTCCATTCTCAGACTGCTATTATAAATTTCTTACAAGATCTTTCTCTCTGATCAAGAATTAAAGTTAAAGAAGCACGGACCTCTTGGAATCAACATTTTTATTTTATTCCTCGACACTCAGCAAGTGTGCAAACTTTGCCTATCTTTAAATCATCTTTGATGATTAAATCTTGTTTATACTCTGAACAAGTAAGCGTAATCAAGTCCATTATCTTTAAAAATGCTGTTGTTTTAGATACATCCTCCTCGTTTTAAAGTTAAAATTTGTTATTGATTTATTGAAACTTGTCAACCATAGAGAATAAGATTTTTGTTTGTCTATCATCTGTCTACCACGATACCATGATAATTATCCAGTCGGTCGACGCGTACAAAACCGGTCGTCATGATTCTTTCTAATAGAAAATTCGACTTTAGTATCTACTTCAGGTATAAAACGTCAATTTGCTTAATGATATTCTTACGGATCTAACTACTTCGTTCGCAGAAGTTTCATCGAGACGTTGGATCCAGTCATTCTTTGTCGAGTTTCCATTGTCCTGGCTCGACCTCTCACCGATGATACCTCTCGTAACTTTATCGAAATATATTGTTTCGTGTATTACTAGAAAGTTAACAACATTTGTAGTTTAATATATTTCTCTCATTTTGGAGAATCTGGTATGCAACCATTTCCACCACCCCTTCCATCCCTCTGAACTTCCAATCGAGTCAAGAAATATACTCTTTTATACTCTCATTCATCCAGATCTTAATCAAATTTACTCTTTATCCTCGTCCAAATCGAAATTTTCTCAATAATTTTCACTATATCAAAAAAGAAATTTTCATTTGACAAGTTGCAGATGGCAATAGGTCTCTAGCTAGCTTCCTCGAAATATCTAAAAAAAAATCCCAAGATTTTTCTTAAATTTGTGAATGCCCACCGATTTTTTCGAGAAGAAAAAATGCGCGTAAACAAATTCGTTCGGTGTTTGACGCCTCGAGTGGTATTTCTTTCTCGAGGCGAGCACCGTCTGACAGGATGAGAATACGTTCTCACAGACATAATAATAATTCGGGACTTCATCGTCGGACCTCCCGTGCTCGATGACGTAGCACTTTGCAGGGATAAATCGCCGCTTTTGTCCCGGTCGGACGTGTCCGTTCTTGACAGCCCTTCGCCAACTGACAAGGGATGGACCGCTCGTTGGGTTTCAGTAGCTCGAATCTCACAGCCTCCCTACGCCCGCTTCCTTCTCTCGCGGGCACGCCTCGCGTGTTTCTCCTCTCCTCTTCGCGATCCTCCACAAATTCCAACCGGATAAATTATCCCGTCCGTCGAGTACGCATCGAGTATAGGCGCAGCGAACGGCGTCCCTCGGTAATTGAACACGAAGGCGAGGAATGCGCGCGATGCGACGTCTCTATGGAAATAGAGAAAGTGCTGCACGATGGAGATGTTGGGGAAAGTGGCGGAGATATTTTGTTCTCGTGCAATAAGAAAGTAAAAGTGGAGAGATTCCAATTCTCTTGGAGAAAGGAAACGAGAATAGAAGGGTCAAGATATAATTGTTTTTGTTGTGCCTGCAACAAAAAAAAAAAGGAAAGTATTGGCATTGATATTTCGAACGTTGTGTTGCAGTCTCGCGGCTAATGGGAGCCGCGGCGGCTGGTGCCGGGACCAACATGGCCGGCTGTTCGGTGGGCCAGTCAATGGGCGACGTGACCAAGTCGTCGGGCATGGGAGTGGGCGTCGGCGTCGGCGTCGGTGTTGGCATGGGCGTCGGCGCGATGCAATTTCCCCACCTTCCGCAGAGACGAAAGCGACGCGTTCTGTTCACTCAGCAGCAGGTTCACGAGCTCGAGAGGCGGTTCAAGCAGCAGAAATACCTGAGCGCGCCCGAACGGGAACACCTAGCCGCTCTAATTCACCTTACGCCCACTCAGGTACGTGTCAAATGATCTTCTTCTTCTTCTTCGTTTATATTCTGTTTACGTTCCAACTTTGATCGATTTTCCAAATGAAATCGTCCAAGAAGTACTTATTATTTATTGGCGAATTTCGACGTACTCGTCGATTTGTTGGAGAGAGAGAGAGAGAGAGAGAGAGAGATTTATTGAATTAAGGTTAGGTAAGATCATTTCTTCCAGTTGAAGTGTCGCGATTTTTTTTCTCTCAATTGAAATATCATGAAGTATCTTCGTTGATCTTAAAAATACGTATTACATAAATCATCGTTCTTCTACGATCTCAACACGGTTAATTGTAAACGTAACGCGAAATGCGATTCGTCTCGATCAACGACTCGAGCTCGCCACCTATTTTTGCTACGGAATACGATGCTTGAAATCGTGCGCGCACGCTTGCGTACGTACACGCGATGAGGATTAATTTCTGAGAGGAGATTAATTGCAGGGAGCAGGTGGTGGGTGTACGCGTGGGTGTATCTACGTCTCTCGGCCAATCGGATCGATCGACCTCAGGGGCGTTGGTTGCGTCGGAGTTGTTAGCCGGAAATGCCGACGAATAGACATTCGATTGCCATTACGGATGAACTTTTGAACGCTCGAAAAATCTTTGAAATCCCCTTTCGATCCAACTTCGTTGGAACTTCGTCGATCTTAGGTTAGGTTAGGTTTTCTTCCGGTACAATTCCCATTTTCTACTAAAATATCCGTATTTCATTCGGTTATTAATTTCGAGGAAAGCAGATATAGCAGGCCAGATTTTTGATCGTCGACGCGTTAAAGTTGTACCATTTAACACGTAACTCTAGTGGTGAAAGTGTTAAGCAAATCGTAGAGGAACGATGCGTCGAAAATAGTCCTCGAAGAGGTGTGTTTGTTCAAAGCAGGAGAGATGGAATTCGACCAGGTAGAATCGTCAGTCGAGGACTCGTTGCTGAGCTGAACGACGTGTAAATATTGTTTTTGGAACCCGAAATTTTTCCCTGTTGCCGGCTTTCTATCGGCAACGATTAATAATACGACGCGTTCCTTTCTCGAAAGGAAATTGCCTCGAAATAAATTGTTCGGGGAAAAATTTGTAAAATCCTTATAACACTTTTCGTGTTATCATCTGTCGTGTTATTCTAATTCGCTTCGTGCGTAAGCATTGATTTAGACAATTCGAGAGAATCGTTTTGGCGGTGATCATTTAAAGCGGTCTGGTCAGAATCAAATTTTAACGAGCAATCTTGATTGGGCAGACAGGTCTGCTCGGCACGATGTGGCAGTCTGGCAACAATAAATAATTGTTGCGCAGCTCATTGGTCGCATCCTGGTCGCTCGTCCCCTCGTTTAGTTTGTCGTTTCGTCTACCGCGCGTCTCTCGGCTCGAACCGACCTCTCCCCAACCATCCTACACGCTCGATTCGATCTACAATTCATAAAGATCATACAACGCGTTCTTTCACAAAATTCCATAAAACCTACAATCCTCGCAAATTACTCCATTCCTTCTTCTCTTCTTCTCGTCGTCACAAGTTCCTTCCATTTCCTCTTCAATAATAACGCCTCCTCCAAATCGCCTTCGTTCTTACCTTTCCAACCTCCAAGGGTTTCCACTCCTTTCGAGAAGAATCGAGAAGAAAAATGGCGGTGCAGAAATCAAAAAAACCTGTGTGTTAAACGGAAGGCATGCGCTCGAGCGGTGCTCCCTAAACCGGAAGTCGTCGGCAACTCCCCGTCTACGCGGAACGGGGCGCGGAAGTCCGCAAAGAGGGCTGATTGCAATCAGCCGCGGATTTTCGCGTGGTTTCGCCGGGGGAGGCGGGCGTGTTGTGCGCTCGCGCGCGCACAAGTTTCGATAACGAGTTTCAGACTCGATGGTACTCGGATCTCGCCCGAGCCGTGAATGCCGGCCATGAAGGCCAGCCTCGGAAACGGGACGCGGAAAGAGATGTTTGAAGGAGAGACGGTGAAAGATGGATAGGGAGAGAGATGAAGTTGATCGTTTTATATACGTATAGGTACGCGCATACATATATATTTATATATGTGTGCGCACGCATATATATATATATAAGCGGACTCTTGAACTTCTGGGGACAAATGGAGACCAAACGAGCTGGCGGTATGTGTGTGTGTGTGCGCAAGGCAACCCTGCGGTACCATCCACTTACGGCCACTCGAAGTCTACGTACGAAGTCGTGCTCTGTAGGTAGCCCACGATGGCCGCACGGGGAGACTAACGAATCATTATGCGAGAGCTGTGCGAATCTTACGTGCCCTCGCGCCGCCACGAAAGCGATATCACGCGAGGAAAGGTCGGAGGAAGTGGAGCATGGCCGCGTTGCGTCGAGAAGCGTTTCCACGGAGAAAAGATTCGTGCAGCGAATTTGAATATTATTGGTAATTTTGCCTGTTGTTGTTTCGACGGTTCGGTTTCTCTCAATTTTTCCCCTTTTCTTTCTTGCCTTTGAGAAATGTTAAGGATTATTGGATATCTTTTCTTTTCGAGAAATCCATCCAAATTCGGATCTTATCTGTCGCTGCTCCTTTTGGAAACGTGTCAAACAATTCTCGCGATCGAATACGTGAATTATCGAAGAAGAAGTTTTATTCGTACTTGTGAAATCCTTTTTTTTTTAATATAGACGGCGATATTTTGTTAACAAAAAAGAGGGAAAAGTCGAGGACGGAGTGAATTCGAAATGAAAAGGAAGAGGGGTGGAAGGCTCAAAGATTAACTTATGAATAAGAAAAGAAAAAAATCTGTCTCTTTCGCGAGGCAAGACAATTTTAAAAGCCAAACTCGAACTCGGTTTCAAAGGCAGGCAAGATCCGCGAAAACATCGGGGTTACGATCGAGGTAATCGAGCTAAATGAGAGGACAGACGGGGATTTTTCATCGTGAGAAAAGGCTATTGCGGATTCGACGGCCCTCGAGGAAAATTCTTTGGGACGCGATCGAGAATCGATACTGAATTAACGAGTCGAACGACGTAACGAACGGAAAGGAGATATATACCGATCCGCGCTCTCCAAGATACTCGAGCCTCGAGTTCGACGCGAGCACACTTTCGAGAGCTTGCAAAGGATCGAGAGATGCCGAAAAAAAAAAAAGAAAAGAAAAAGGAGGAGGAGGAGGAGGAGGAAGAAGTAAGGAGAAAGGAAGGAAAAAGAATTTTCCGCCTGTCGTTTGCCCGATCGACGGGCCAAAGTGCCGCATCGACCGTTTCCGGGAGAACGTCACGCAAAATCGACCCCGTTTCGAGTAACGAGACGACGAGCACTCGACTGGCTCGACAAGAAGCACCGATTTCTTTCTGCTCGTTCACCTCGATGATGGATCCTGATGGGAATCGGCACATGGAATCATTCTCTCTCGTTCTTGTTGCTCTCCAATTCCGTTTTCTTCTCAACGCCATTTTGGTTTCGTAGGCAGATTTCGATCAGAGTAACATTGATCGACTTTGATTTTTCGAATTTTTTTTCCCTGAAAGAAAAAAACGTTTCGTTAATATTAATATTGTCGAATCGTTCACAAATCTGGTACGAATTTACAAGCCAACTCGTAGAATATAATATAATATAACTTTCTACCTTGTGTTAATAATCTCTTTTCGAATTTATCCAAGTACAATAATAATAATAATAATAATAATAATAATAATAATAATAATAATCCGAAATGTTATCGAGAAAATCCGATAAAAAGCGAATATAAAGAGGTAATGAGGTTGCAGCCAAGTACGTGCCAAAGGATCTGGAGGAAATCCTGTCGATCATTTTGTAGAGATACCATCACGTGTGTTTGCACGACATTGAACTCGCACAGTCCTCTTCAGCGCTCCTCCTCTCAAGGCTGCTATATAAAGTCGAAGAGGGTAGATTCGGTGGTAGGCAAACCCATTATTACGATTATCTCCGTTGCTGAATTGCGAGGCTCCACGCTTGTCGCGGCTCGTTCCCTCTTCTTTCCACCCTCGCCTTTTCTTTTTTTGTCTCGGTTGTTTATCGCTAGGAGAAGGAGAAATCTTCGTCGTTTAAAAAATCTCAACATATTTCATCGTTTTTGCATTGCTATTATTATTATTCGAGAATTAGAAAATAGTTGCGAATCGCGTTAAATTCAATCGTGTCGATCGACTTGTATATCGCATGATAAGAGATAATTTACACAAGGGCGGGATAATATATACCAGCGTGAGCCATCCGTAAACAGTATTAAAGGCTTCTTCGATGGACGAGCAAATTTATAGCGGGCTTTACTTACTTGATGCCCGGATCTACCCTTTGAACGTGCATATAGAACCATCTAATATTCCTTTCCGGCCCGATACACAACGGAACGTTTATGCAGGCCTGTTGGAAGATGGAACAATATTTGCGAAACAGCTTTTCCTTTCCAACTTTTTTCTAAACGAACAATAAATATATAATTTTTCAAAAATGATTCAAAATTTCGAAGAGAGAGAGAGAGAGAGAGAGTATTTCTCTTTTATTTAAAATTTTATATTCACTTTTTTAAATTTTATTATTTTATTACATTTGTTTCTACATAACATATCTCCTTCCTACTATTTTTTTTACGATTCTTTCTACGATAAATCTTTTTGCACGAATTCTTTCACTTCGCGAACAAAACGTTTTTATTCTTCATCAAGATGATGATTTAATCTGAAATAAAATTATAAGATCGTTTCAAAATTTCAATACGTTTTGCATCCCCCGAAGTGCCCGTCTCTCTATTCATGTTGGACGTTCGATAGGTTTCGTTGAAATCGTTGGAAAGCGAAGTAGAAGGAGTCAGTGGACGATCTGGCTGGCGCTAACAATAAACGTCAATCGTCATTGTTTGACAGGAAACAATGGAAGGCGGGCGGCGGTTGTTTCGTCTACGCCCGATTTCGAGGCCCGCGAATTCCTCACTTCGGTGATTTTTCATTAATCCACGATCTCGCCTGAACTTCACGGTTTCTATTAATTATTTAACTTTTGAT